CCTCCATACGCGTTTGTATATAGTTTGACAACATTAAAAGTAGAGGTGCGCTGGACTTTACACACAGTCTCTTAACATCAGTCATATAAAAGCAATGGAGACGTGAGCTGTTTCAAGCCATGTTGCCTGATAGTGTGACGTCTTACATTACGCTATCTGGATTGTTGAATGTGAATAAATTAATTTACTTACCAGTATGGATGTGAAATTAGTCTTCAATTGCATTTATAATGGTCTTAAAAAGGTCTTAAATTGCACTTGTTAAAACCTGCAGAAACACCGTTTTAGAGTCATGGTTTGACCTATCAGTTAGCTTAAATGTTAAATACTCGGTGGTGACAACCTTTAGCTTTACTGATGCTTAAACATGTTAAAAGTTATCTTTTTCTCAGCCTTTACCTTGTTCTTGGCCTACAGTATATCTGCCCTAATTACAAGATCTCTAGGCCATACGATCATCTTGATGATGGTCTTTGTTTATTGTTAATTATGCTATGTTTCAAAATTAATGATTCAGTAATGATTTATTTATGTTAAAATGTAATGCTTTATTAATGTTGACTTGCTTAATGCAATATATTTAATTAATGATTCAACTGGCCTTCTATACCAAATTGTCAAACCAAATGGTCTAACCGCCTGTGTCCACTAAGTACCTCTTTTTAGTTTAAATTAGCAACTTAGCTTTTTTTTAGCAATGCTTATGGCTTGGGGGATGTCAGTGTCTGTTTGTGGGTTGGCCAGCATGTGTGATGGTTGGTCAGTTGGCCGGCCCATCACTTGGATTAAGATCATGCAAGGCTGGACTCTCCTCTCAGCTGTCTCATCAGGAGACAGCATTAAACATTATGTTTTACCTTTCATCATGAAGGTACGATTTTCCTAGTATTAGGAATTAACTGGTAATTCTGTTAAATATGGAGGCAGATGTTGACTGATATCCAGCACAACCCACAAGTAAATACCGCAGAGTCTGAAAAAACTCCAAATTCACTTGGTATCTGTTCATACTTTGAATTTTCAGTATTGCTTTTTAATATTTCTATTGCATATGATTAAAAAAAATTGTAAACAGCAGTAATGAAATGATATCTTTCACTGAAGACTGAATTGTGGTCTAATCTAATGAATAATGTTTTAATATTTGGTAAGTGGTATTGTTTGCATGTGGCACATAAAAGAAATACTCATTTGCACTTAATTAGCTTAATTCTGCTGGAGTTCTGAAAATTAAGAACAGGGGCCAGCAACTTGCTAGTGAGTTATGCATTGTATCTCAATTGAAAATATGTAAATAAAAGCAGTTCAATAATAAATATTTGAAACAGCATGCACATGACTTTTCACATGTGTGCATGCTGACCCACATAGTGCACCACCCTTGGCCCGGATAACACGGCCATACCCTAGCTTACTGTGGCTGTGGGGGAATGGGGGGGGGGGGCTTTTTCTAGGGGAATCCTTAGCTTATGACGATACCCCCCCAACCAGCTAGTCGTGTTCTGTCTGTGTTCCCTACTAGCCGCAGACCCCCTCCCTCCGCCTGCTGCATCCCCACGCCTTCACTAGTGCATCCTTCAAACTGTGGGTACCATGATGCCGATAGGAAAAATCGGCAGATGGTGAAACACTTTCTTAGGGCATTTTAGCCATTCTCAGTTTCTAACATCGAGTTCCTGGCATCTCAAATTTTCATCACAAAATGCTATCTGTGTTTTGCACATCAATGTAAGTGCATATTTATCATCATGAATGTGTTTGTATATTTTTTGTATGCATGCACATATGGCTTGAAATCCTACAGCCACCGCCCATGCTCGTGACCAACAGAAGGAGCCAAAGAAGCTCACTGTAAGCTTATTAATGTATCCTGGTCGCCCTCCAGTATGGGCTTGCTAGTTGCCATAGCAACTTGTCCCTGGATATTGTTCAGCAGGAGAGCCATGTAGATGTAAAATAAATATAAACATCACCCTATAACCCTGGCCAGAGCTTTTTATGTATAGCAGCCCATCTTACTTATCATCATTAGTGGTAGTATAATAAGTATATATTTATAATTATATATCAGTATATGTATAATTTTTTCTGCATTACAAAACGAATATATCAGGATTCGGGCTATGGTATCATTTGCCGCTGACTGTAGTTTTACCTCACAATCTGGATTCTCAGAATAAACAAATGTAGCCCAGTGTGGGGCTCAACACTGACGATCCAAATTCCGATGCTCATCTCCAAGCGCCTGCAGAAATCAACAGGCGACGGTGCTCCTCATCTTAAGTGCTGATGTGTGTTCACGCCCAGTCAAGCTGAGGGAAATCAAGACACTGAAAGATTAAGGAGGTCAGGTTTTAGAGCTCACTGAGGGAGGCGGGGAAAGAGGCTTTACCAGCTATTGACTACCATGGAAAAAGGATGGGCTGCTTCCAGGGACATGATATCTCTTTATCTCTCATAAAATCGTTGATCGATTGATATTTAAGTGTTATGTTTCAACATTTTGTTACAGTTTGCATTAGCTGTTGTAACTGTTTGATTTTGCAGTTGACCCAAATTCAAGAGTTTAAGAGTCAAATTTTAGTGTATAGATATGGCAGCAATAATCTCATGGTCATTTATAGCTAATAGTCTGTTGAGGCTGTGGAAATCATATCTTTACAGCAGTGTCCTATCTGTCTATTGAAAGGCCAGACTCTTAGACCACATGAGAAGCCAGGCAGTCAGCCAGAAAAACTTAACATCCTTACCATCCTTATCTGTTTTTCACTAGCTTCACAGCTCAATTGTACTGTACACTGAGCGTCCACCAGTGCTTGGAGATTTGGGCCCAGAGTGATTTAAATCTACATGAATCTGAGTGGCTTTGGCACCTGAAAGGAACAAAATAATGTTCTCAATTAAGTATGCAAAAATAAACACAGGAGAAGGCAATAAAATTAGTTTTGCAAAGGTGCATTGATCTTTATGTCGATCAACCACAGATTATCATGGATGTACACCCATCAGCCATAACATTAAAACCACCTGCCTATTATTATGCAGGTTGCCCTTTTACTGCCAAAATAGCCCTGGTCTGTCGAGGCCCATGGGGCTTCCATGGTTTAGACTTGTTTGTCCAGCAACATCCCACAGATGCTCGACTGGATTGAGATCTGGGGAATTTGGAAGCCAAGTCAAAACCTTCAACTTGTTGTTGTGTTCCTTAAGCCATTCCTGAACCATTTTTGCTGCCACAGCCATCAGCGAATGCTTTTTCCATGACAGGGTATACATGGTCTGGTAGGTAGGTGGTATGTGTCAAAGTAACACCTGGGTCATGTAAAAGAAAATGCACTTCATCAGACCAGGCCACCTCTTCCATTGCTCCGTGGTCCAGTTGTGATGCTCACATGCCCATTGTAGGTGCTTTTGGCAGTGGACAGGGGTCAGCATGGGCACTTTTCCTGTGTTTTGCAGCTATGCAGCCCCATACTAACAAAATGTGATGCACTGTATGTTCTGCCACCTTTCTATCAGAACCAGCATTAACTTTTTCAGCAATCTGTCTGTTGAATCGGACCCCAAGGCCCAGCCTTCGCTCCCCACATACATTAATGAGCCTTGGCCACTCATATCACTGTTGCCGGTTCACCGCTTTTCCCTCTTTGGACTTTTTATGATTGGTATAGATCACTGCGGACCGGGAACACCCCACAAGAGCTGCAGTTTTGGAGATGCTCTGACCCAGTCATCTAGCCATTACAATTTGGTCCCTCAAATCCTTACGCCTACCCATTTTTCCTGCTTCTAACACATCAACTTTGAGGACAAAATGTTCACTTGCTGCCTAATATATCCTATCCACTGACAGGTGCCATGGTAACAAGATAATCAGTGTTATTCACTTCACATCTCAGTGGTCATAATGCATGGCTGATCAGTGTATATTTCTGGTTTTTCATAATTTCAGTGTGAATTGAATTGGTAGATTGCTTGCCTAAAAGGACAAGTCCATAGCACTATTCAGCTTAAGGCAAGTGTGTTGTTAATGCAGGTCAGAGCAAATTGTTTTCATTTCCAGTCAGGTAAAAACTGTACATTGTACATTCGGTTTATATATTAAAAATCTGTAGTTGTTATATGTGCATTTTTTGGCTTTTGGGGGAACAAAAAGTATCAAACAGTACAATTTTAATTTGAACCTAAACCTAAAAGTTAACTTTATTGCCCTCAAAAAATGCATCTTGCACACGTTAATTTATAAGAAGTGTCGTCGCACCCCTGAATAAATCCATCAACCACACGGGCAGATTTACTCTTCTGTAACTAGCTCACAATGACTAAATAATTGAAAAATTGCTGTAGATAAAATGTTTTCTATCCTGATAGTCCCAAACTTCTGCAATCATTAGTGTACAGCATGTACAGATATGGTGAGGTTTTTAAAATCCCTTAGTAACCAGTGACGTTAGGGACACTATATAAATGGAATTTGTTTTTCCACATAATCACAATTTTTGTGCTGCTCTAGAAGGCACATGAACATGTGTCAGCACATTTAATTCATGTTACCATTGGCAATATTCCTAAAATATAGATTGTCATGTGCTGAAATGTATTAAACCAACAGTTAGACAATTTGAAACAATAATGATTAAATGAGGAACAAGACAGAGAAAAGCTGTGTCTACATGCCACAGTGACGAGCTGTTCCCCAAACAAGGAAGCCAATTTAAGAATCCGTTATCAGGATTAGTTACTAAATGTGATGCCTACCACGTTGAATGTAATGAGCTACAGCATACTTTTACCAGCATTTTGGCAGGTGGCTGATCATAATTTCTTAGAATGCAGATTAAAATGCAGAAAAATGTCTGTTTGTTGCATTAGTGTTTGTTGCATTAGTGATGGTAAAGGAAGGAAGATGCATATTCATTAAGGGCCATAAGAACTATGAATAGCACTGGAATACTTAGCATAGTGAACAACACAAACAGAAATACAGTACGGCCAGTCAATTTTTGCTGCATACACTGAATTTATTTTTCTTGTTTTGTCAATGGTACACCTACAGCAGTGGACTTCGTTTCAAAAGCCATTGAGGGGAGCTCTGTTTATGACTCAATGCTGCCACCTACTGGTCAGGACAGATGTAGCTCAAACGTGATGGTAGTGCCACAGTAACATTACATAAGCCACAACAAACTGTGATATCATTTGTCTTTCAAAACAAATTATACTCTTGTAAATGATTGTGTGGAAAAATAATTAAGGCTATGCTTTGAATAATGAAAAAACAATAATAGGGCACAGATCTCCATCCAATTACTTTTAATAGTTAACCAGGGAGCGTTTGACAGGCTGGCACACCTTTATCTCCTTCAAGGAAACAACAGCTCCACTCCACGTTGATGAGGAGCACAACTCTAAAATGGCAGAAATCGGAAAATAGATTGGTAAAGTGCAAAAAGCTTTTACATCAATAAATCAAATATGTTCTGTGCACAAGGTTATTCAGCACCAGGGAAAGAAAGAAAACACAGTAACTTTATTAATTTAACAAATTACCATTTGTAATTGCAACCATTGAAATGGGATACTGACTCTGAGGAGTAACATTTATATTTTAAATTATCTCTTCCCTTCTCAGAGAAAACGTAAAGACAAGCCTGAAATATTAGAATCTCCTACACACAAATAATGCATGTGGACATTTACAGAATCAATATTCTCTGCTCATTACTGTTGAGAGAAAAAGAAAAAGACAGAGTGAGAGAACATAAGACTTGCCACTTACGTGATGTAGTGTCTCCAGATGAATGGCTGTCAAAGCACTCATCACTGCGGATGGATTGCACAAGATTTTTGACCGCCAGCTGACCCAGATTAGACTTCACTTTAAAAAATCCTGTCACCAAACCAAAGAAACTGTCAAAACTGGCCAAATTCTGTCACATTAAGAGACATGATTTATGAGCTATAAACAGAACCTGCCATGTTGCAGATAATGAATGAATAATGACTATTAATAGTAGTTTATTTCTTATTTCACCATTTTAAATCTACTTAATTCTCCACCTTTAATGTTTAATCACGAACTACTAATTGCTCACCTTGCTTTTACCTACAGTTTTACCAAATGACGGCACCAACAGGTGTGTTCACAGTTGCTTTACCTAGTCCGTGCTTGTAAAATATCTTACTGGTCTTCTAACGTAATACCAGAGAGTCTCTTCTCTCTCTCTCTATGTGTGTGTGTTTCTCTGGAGAGTGTGTGCAATTGTCAGTAGTCTGCACAGAAGGGGTAGAGCGAGGGGAGATTGTCCACTAATTAATCAGTCACAGGTGGATCGCCAAATATACTTTGGCAGCCGCTTATATACCTGGATGGCCCGTCTAAGTTAAGTCTATATGTCACTGTATTCTATCGAACCTTGTATTCTCATTAGTGTGATAACAGTCTGTCAGTCCCTGTCATGTAACCTGTGTTTACAACTCTTGTGTCATTGTCATAATATAGCACAGTGTATCAGGTTGACATTATCTGACATGATTTAGACCAAAGTAAAATAAAAAGGTTACATTTGCCCCCACAGATTTCTCAATTATCACCCCTAGGTGACTCACCAGGGCTGAGAACCTTATCTGCAGCCTTGAGCTCCAGGCGCTGATGGAGTACAACTTCTGCCTTCCTGTGGTTTGGGCTAATGTCAGGCTCAGCCATGATCTCTGTTATCCTCAGGTTGTTTTTGATGGCCTTGGTGGCACTGGACCGGGCCAGTGTGGGCAGAAGCCCCTGGTACTCTTTGTTAGTGAAGTCTGTCTTTGAGTCCATAACATCGCTGATACTGAGAAGGAAGCCTTGAAAAGATTAGAATACCTACAGGATTCTATTATTATGTTTATATGTTTCACATTTGTGTGTATATCATTTTTACACTGTGCCAATGTGCTGTATACCCACTGATTGGCATCCTTTTCAATTGGGTTTTCACTGTTTAGTTGGGTTCAAGTGCCCTAGAAGTTAGTGCTGAACGATTTTGGAAAATGATAGCTTAGTATTTCTCTGGACAACACCAGAAAACAAACTAAATACATTCAACACTGGGAAACTCGTGAGCTAATAACACTTGAGCTTGAGTGCCTTACTGAGCTTGAGTGCCTAATGTACCAATATTAAGCTAAACAACATACTTTGAAAGTGTATAGCTGCAAACTATTTAGAATTTGCCTAAAACTGTTAACTTTCTGCCCTGTTCCCAATCAACCCTTACCTCTGCTTAGTTAAAATAGTATAAACCTCCTGCACCAACAGCTCAGCTGCTCCTGGTTTACAGTGGACGGTTCCATCAATGACCTCCTTCATCAAGTGTAGATTCTGCTTCTGTAAAGTCTGGAACAATAAAAATCTTTGGCAACTATCTGTCTCAAAACACGAAATTATTGTTTGAGATCCTGCAAGTAAATGTAGTTAAATAAAACATCATGATGGGTCTTCAGTATGGATTATTTTCTATCATCCGCTATTTAAGGATTTGTGATGTTGTGTGCTGGTAGGTTGAGCAACATCACAATATTTGGGCTGGACACCTAAAAGTAGTTTTAAAAAAAAGCTAATTCATTAGTCTGCATGTGTAAAGTGAGTGTTAAATGTCATACTGTAGCTAAGACATTTCTTACTACTTATTGTATTTTTAGATGTCTTCCTCCTCTTACCCTCTCTATATGGCTCCAGTTCCTCTGTTTGGCAGAAAGGGATGTTCCTTTGTCATATGAATGCACTGGAAAGTCTTTGGGGTAATACTGATAAAATATCTCTGGAAGTAAAAAGTAGGAAGATCAGACAGAGTATATTTACTCTACCAGTGAAATACCCTTTGAATAATTTGCTGCCTTGGCAGCACTGCAAAGCATCGATGCTTCTCTACTTATATTATATTTAGTTCACCCTTGATTATTCTGTTTATCTTTAGTATTACTATTTCATTACAAGCATGTGTTCTATATGTTACTGTCTTTGTGTTTTATGGTGCAAATCTCTAGTAAACGAGATGACAGTGAGGCCCTTACCAGATGAAATTGTTGCATGACAGTTAAGTTACACTCAGTTAAGAAGTGAGGACATGCTCATTGAAAACGACCATGGAGCAATTGTTAACCTACATGTTTTAAAATTACCAAGGTAGCAAGAGTTAAGTGATTTAACGTAACACAGATTTGTTTTCAAGTCAAAATATGTCTAGAGGTGTAGTTAACTAGCTAGTTATAGGTGTTTTTGTTGTTTTGCCAACCTTTGTTTTAACTGCACTGAAATTTGAATGTGTGCATCTCATTAACATATAAGTTAGCTAAAGTTAGCATTAACTAGGTTAACTAATATTAGAAAATCAACACGCTTGCTTAATCATGTTGAAACAACGGTTAAAAATAACGTTATCAATGTTGCAAAAACGGCTTTACCCAATTATCATTTATCCCGGTTTTACAGTCTGAAAACTGACGCTTTTATCCGGTTTTACTAGGACGTGTATGCTGTAAGTTAGCTTTGAGAGGTTTGTAAAACGTTAGTCTAACTATAATTCTTTACCTGCGCACATTCTTCGGATAAAATGACAAGTCGAGGCTTTGCAGCCATTTCACGACTTCTCTTGGCAGTCCAGTCTTTTGGGGAAACTGTACAAGAGACATGCTGCTCTGAGCCTGATGAAATCTACAAACCAATAATGTGTTTACTGTCTAGATGTCCATGAAACCATGCAAAACTTTAGCATGGCCTACCAGTTTCCTCTAAGATAAGTAACGAGCCGCAACAGCTTGTCTTTTTTTGTTTATATTTCCCTGGCAACGACAAGACACACTTTTTTGACAGACAGCGGTGGCGGTTTTCTGCCCCTCAGAGGATGAAACTGAAACATAGTCTATGGATGTAACATTAATACAGAATTTTTACGGAGGAATACCAATATTTTTTTAATCAGTATTCACTATTAAATAGAAAAATTAGACATTATGAAATACATAATTGCATCAATACAGACATAATATACCCATGGAATTGTGAAGTAATTCACTATAAAAGTTAAAACTCAGCATTATGAAAAGTTATTTCATACTGCTACTTTATTCATGATTATTTTGTTAATAATAAGTATATGATAGCATTATTTAATTTGCATTATTAGCTACTGTCCCGGCAATAGAAACAAACAATAGCTGCTCCACCCACTCATATTTTCCATTTGGGACTTTCCAACAAGGTCAGCCTCCTCCAGTTGTCATTACTCAGTAATCTAAGCTTAAACTCATCAGCTATTTTTGTTGTCAATATGTTTGAATGAATAACTCACCCATTGCAACTCTCAAGTTAAACATCATTAATTACCAACACAGCCTTCATGTGTATTTTTTACAAAAACAACATATTTTGGAATGCACCAGGTTTTAAAACACTTTTAATCATCTAGTGTGCTAAGCATTGTATATCAAATGCAAAACTATGAATACTCATTCACGTTCATTCATTGTGCATTTATGATGTTAGTATTATGTAAGGTTATTACAACTATTAAGGAAACTTCTAAATACTGCAAACATGAATTGCAAATAATATTTAATTTGTTATATTTTGTTACCGTAATTTATCTAGGGAAAACTACATCTGCAAGCTCTTTTAGAAACCCTCATCTAGGTCAACTACTCAGGTGAATTCTGTGACTAATTTCACTGCAGTGACTGGTAGCTAAAATTAAAAGTAGGAAGAGTTCATGAAGTTGATTTGCTTTTTGTGTCAAGTGCTTTTCTATGTAAGTCCCATTAAGGAAGACAGTTTAGTTGTTCTGTCTGTCATTGGTACTGCAGGTAGTTCCTGAGCCTGTTGGGCAGGGGGAAGGTGGGAAAGAAGATGGAGTCTGTCACGGCCGACGGAGTTCCTGATGCACTGACGACACACCTGACTCAGCAGTCGTGGTGTAGCTGTGAAAGGAGACAATGAAACATTATATAAGCTGGTCTTAATGCATAGATTACTTCCCAAAGACAACCATTGCTTTAGGCTGGACTGAATTTTTAAAAAAAGTTCTGTCCTGCTACAAGCTCAGGTTATTGGGCAACCTTTATATGGTGATGGATATATATATTAAAACATAGACATAAATACCAAAAGTTAAAAAATGCAAACATAGGTCAGTAGTTGCCTACGAAACCAAGTTGCAGGTGTTCTTGTACCTTCATATAGCAGTAGGAAGCCCTCTGTTAGACTGCTGGGTGGAGCCACATCTACTGGCCTCTGAAACTCTGTGTTCCGGGCATTAATGTCTGCACCAAAGTCCAGCAGCAGCTTCACTACAGCTGTGCAGTCTTTTTCTGCAGCTGCATGTAAGGGTGAATCCAGGGATTTGCCTTTCTGTACATTTGCACCTGTATGCAGGACAACTTGATTATCCATTCTAGAGTCAAGTTGGAAAAATGTTAAATGTCATCAATACCTGTTCACTGTAATCCAGGAGTTACTTTGTGACAAAAGTTTCTTATTTTTTATGCACATCCCTTCCTTCATCTGCCCATCTATCTAACAATTTCCATTATTTATTCACAAAAGACTTTCAATAGCCCTGAGAGAATGGACGTAAAGTTGTTACTTTAAAACAAGCAATATGGGTATACAAATAGCTTGAAAATGTGATCAGTCAGCTGTAATGTAGCTACATGTGAATGCTGTGCCACTCCGTACTCAGATTGCAACATGTTATGTATCTGCATTAATAAGGCAAGTGTCACAATCATCATCACATTGAATTGTCCATAAATGATCTCTAGAAAGAGACTTTTAGCACATTTGGAGTAACCTTGACAATTTACATTACTGACAAATAATTATTTTATTGCTGCTGTACTGGAAATTCCACTAATATCATTTAATCTGCAATGAGGCCAAACAAATGTTTTGTTGAGTAACTGCTCAACGAAAATAAGTTATAAGTTATTTAGTTAGTATTTTAAAAATCGATTGTGTATTCATGTGTTTTTGTAGCTATGTCTTTGCCAGTGCACAATAAATGTTCTTGTGTATCTGTGTGTGTATGTTCATACAGGACGTATGCTTGTCTGCATAGAGATGTAAAGATCCACACTGTGCAGTAAGCTGACCTTCCCTCAGGAGTTTCCTGGCACACTCCAGCTCTTGGCAGACGCAGGCTGTATAGAGCGCTGTACCCAGGTGAGGAATGTCCATGTCCACATCTGCCCCCCAAGTCACCAGAGCCTCCACACAACCGTAATGACCTGGACGTAATGGAGCATGAAGACAGTAATCAGTAAGTGACAACGTGAGATAATTCTCCAAGCTGTTTGCTCAGGCTATGTTGGGATTTATTTTTAAATCTGTTTTTCACAGTATGGGTTTGTTATAAAGTACACAGCCAAGGACACAAATATAGGTTGAAAGAAAGGATCTAGTGTAAGCTGTAATTAGTTGATTTGGTGTATATTGTCCCATGTTACATTAAATAACACATCGAGAGGTAGATCATGAATATGCGCTGCAAACACAGATACGACGCTTTTTAGATGTACAGTATATTAAATCACAATAGAAGACTACCTGATATGCATTCTGTCATGTATGCAGAATATTTTGTTATTATATACCTTTGCTTGTAGCTTCATGGATTGGTGAGGGATGGTATACATGGCTCTGGGGTTTTGCTCCATTTTCCAAAAGAATTTCAGTGCATGCAACACTGCCCACGGTACAGGCGTTGTACAGAGGTGTGACTCCATCAATTGTAAAAGCATTGACCTGTAAACACATTTTTTAAACTGTTATTTTTTGGCCTCTTTTAACCATGCAATTTGACTTATAGCAACAGCCTGGGGGAACAGTTGAAGGGGAACAACAACTTAATAGCTCTTCAGTGACTGTAAACTTACTCATTTGTTACCCCTACCCAGCTTTTCCCAGGCATGGAAATTACATTTGACCTGTGCAGTATAGCAACATTACAGGCCAATACGTGACTTACATTTGCTCCTGCATCAATGAGAGCTCTGGCACAAGCGACGTGGTCTCCAGCACAGGCCTCATGAAGGGGTGTCACATGGTCTATAGTCAGAACATTTACACTGTGACCCTGGAAACAGAATCAAAAAGCCAGAGACATTTAGAAGTAATAAGGGGCAATACGTGAACTTTGTCAACCTCTATTGGTGATCACCTGGTATTGCAAAAACATCAATAAAGGTTATCTTTTCTAGAACAGACCAAGACTCCTCAGTAATTAACAAACTATCCTGTACAGACACATTTCAACAGTAGAGATTAATAAGCTTGCTAATTGAAATGTAGAATCAAAGCGGTTCTGGTGAAGAGCTTATAAATCACCATGTGCAATACTCTAATGATATCACTGCTTTTGTCGTGAGCTTGTCTGAGCTAAGAACATGGCATTGCTGGCTTGGGAGCTGAATCTGCTCATTTTCTTGTAGCACACTCCTCAGTCTGTGAGCAGCTGAAAATGCAAGTGGGAGAATAGATTCTCTCATTTATTAGTCTTTTGCATTGATCAGTAATTCTGTTGAACCCTTCAGATACTTTATATAATGGTTATGTAATACTGTGTGTTATGGTTGTTCTGTGCTGTACGCCTACATAAATTTATTAAGCTACTTTAGTGCTATATTATCTAAGATGGTATGTCATGGTTTTCTAATAATAAAAATTACTTAAAACACATGATTTATTAACAGCCAGATGTTGACTGACATTTTATGTTGCAGACATTTAGTCAACCGTCTTGCTATTGTAACATACAACCTGTGCAACAGCAGAATTGGAAGCAACCGGTAAAGGTCAGGAGGACATTTTGGCTTTGACAACTTTGGCAACAATATCATACCAGATAGACTGTAGGAATACCAAAATGTAGTGTTGAGAAATAATGGAAGTTCAGATGGACAAATTTAATGAAACGTCTGTGTTGGATGCCAATTAGATAATTAGAGGTAATCCCAGATAACCTTAGTGACTCCTTACTTTCATTCAAACCTCTTTTTTAACTTCTAAACCGGGAGTCTACAAAGGCACTGATATACATGTAATTACTCAAGGGACAGTTACAACAGACCCCATGTGCACAGATGAGGAGATGCACATAACTCTCCCAGGGGATTGTGTTCTCTTCACCTGCAAAATGAGGGTCCTCAGAGCCAGGAGGCGGCCCTGACTCGCAGCATCATGTAGGGGGGAGCGATCTGCCCAGGATCCTGCAGTGAGAATTCAGTGCTTACTTTATTACTATTATTAGGTTAATGCTTTCATCCAGAGCCATTTACATGCAACAGCATAACAAGCCTCAAATCCTGAGTTACTAACAGTACAAGAGGATGCTTATTCATCATGTCTTGTAATATTATAATTAATTTATTGTTTAACCAATTACAAATGCTTAGTGAAATCCCAACCACAAACCTTAATTTATCAATTGTCCATCTCCTTTATGTTTATGAAAGTCATATTTAAACCTTTCATGTGTTACCCTTCATCTTCCAAGAGTTAATGCGTAGCATATTATTATGTGACAAACTGTGCTTGAGAAGTCCTTATGCAGCCAACTCAGCTCATTCACACTCCACTCACATGGCAAATTAAAATCAGTTTGAGAAATTTACTGTGGTTGTCTTTGTTGTAATTCTGGCAAAAAAATGTCTCATTAAGCACACCTGAGTCAATGTCCAGAATAACAGCTGATGCATTCCACACGTTATCATCATCGTTCTCATCTTCCTGCATTTTAATCATAATTTAAAGATAATATTCAGCCTAATGTTACCTATGAAATTCCAGCTCTTTTATTCATGCAGCCTATTTTCCTTGACTAATTTAAAATACCCAGCTATAGACATCAAACAGAAGACCATATCTAAAGGACTGTGACTAATACTCTAAGCTTGGCTAATTAGTATTCCATAGAGTAGGTCCACTTTAAATTAAACACCCCCTTGAATGATAGATACAGATTGTGTGTGTCGTTGTCTCTCTTCACCCAGGATGTGCCTTCGAACCGCCTGTCCCTGAGAACTTGGAGTGTTGTTTTGGTTGCTGTCTATGTGTGAAAGGGTGCACTGCATAGCTGAGAATGGAAACTAGGGCAGGATGGGGGCGGGGGAGGGAGAAGGGGGGATATCATGACTGTGTTCTAATAATACATTAGAGAAAAAGACCTGCCAGCCTACAGTGTCTTCGTTTAATATTGAATGTACAGTTCTGGATTTATATGTCGCTATTAAGCTAATGAAAGAAAAGTAGGCTATCATTTATATCTACAGTATGTGCTAATGTGAATACAATTAATGGCTCTTATACTTGGATTGAATTAGCAATGCAGTATTTATAGCTCATTTGTAAACACGGAAATTGTGAGTGTGTGGCTGTGTGTGAGCGGGGAGTTCTTGAACTTGATTTTAAAGGAAACTATATTCATATTTTCTACCTATGACCTTATACACCTGAGGTCAAACATCTTGCTAGGTGTACAGTTGTATGGCGGTTACATTTTACACCAAATTTGGCTTCAACACAAATATTTATGATTAAAATTATGCAGTGTGTGGAACAAAGAAAGGACATTGAGAATAAAAAAACAACTCTTAAAGGCGTTTTATGTTTTTCTCAGAGTACTCACTGTGTTGTTGACCATAATCATAGAACTCTGCTGATATCCTGGCAGCCTCTTTACGGTTCCCACGGACAATGTAGAAGTATGCCAGCAAGTTGAGAGAAATCTTAACAAAGAGCTTAAAGCAGAACAGTGCCAAGATGCTGAGGTAAACATGGGACAACTGGGCCGTGAAGGGCTTGTTGGGGAGTTCCTCTGTTGGGTCTGACATTTCCTCCGCCATGTTTCTGAGGGGCTTTGGTTATGATGAAGGCAGGATCAGATGCCACTCCAAAAAGCACAAGAGTTGTCTACTTTTTCTCCCAGTGAACTAACTGGTTGGCTGGTCCTGACAAAGTACAGGCTGGAAAAAATGCTCTGCAGCTGCTACTGTGCCTGAGAAGCAACCTATGTGTGTGTGTGTGTGTGTGTGTGTGTGTGTGTGTGTGTGTGCGCGTGCACGCACTGATGTGTGTTTTCACAAGTTATACAAATTTCTATTTACATTCAGTGGTACATGTTCTGGTTGAAATGTTAATGGTTTTTTTGCATACAGTTTTAACTAATGGTATTTAATTCTGGATGAATGAGATTTAAAAATATTTTTAAACTTCAATAAACATGATTGGTTAATAAATTCTTATGTTATGATTTTTTTTTTGTGTGTGTGTGTGTGTGTGGGGGGGGGGGGGGGTATTTTTTATTTTTATATAAATATTAATTTACGAATTAATTTTCTATTATTACTTTTTTAAGTTGTTATGTTTTAGTTAAGTTGTACTCCACAGTGGAGGTCTGCAGCTAGACCCCTCTCGTTACTTTCTGTTTCCAAGGAAGCGCGTCTTGATCGCTGCGCACGCGCTATAGATTATTCCTCACCTTTTCCTTGAACATCAGATTTCTGTTTAACTTACTTCCCATTTTAATGTCTTTTTACCGACATTTCTGCGTTAAATGACGGGGTACCATTCATATCTGGTTGTAATAGCAATCGCTTCCACGCTCGTTTGCCTGCTGTGTTGTCAAAATGTGAGCTCGGATACGACTCGGACTAAGTTGAATGGCTCTGCAGTTGATTTCGACTCGTTCAGACAACAGTTTCACCGCATGTATGAAGTCAACAGCGACGAATTTAACCGTCGTCATCTGTATTTTCAGGTAGGACAGGACGGTGGGAGACGGACTGACGTGTAGAGAAACTTTTTACACACTCTACAACACGTCTTAAACAAACGGCTGCGAGCGTAACTACAAACAACGCCCACTCATGTAGCCTAAGGAAACTTACTATTTTTGGTAGAAAATGTGAAATGTAAATTAGTATGCCATAACAGTAAATGAAGGTGGAAGAAGCACGGTGACTACGCCTAAAAGTAGTAATAACACAATGTAACAATGCTACTACTAGTGTAAGTCCTGCAACAACGTGCAGAATGTAACGTGAAGGAGAATTGACACAACCTTCTTACAAATGGAAGCTGAATTCATAAGAAATAAAAGCATTCAGGGGTTTTAACCAGCACTACTAAGTCAGGTTTGTGCTATAGCCTATACTTGTGCTACAGTGACACTTAGTTTAAGCATTTATCATTACCCCATAATTGACACCAGTGGCCACTGTTGAGCAAAAGTCACATAGCTGTACAAAAGCAAAGGTTTATAGAGTAGGCTATATCAAATGAACCCCAGTGCCATACAGTCAGTTACCAGTTTATTAGGTACAGCTAATGCACCAGCCATGAAATAAATACCTTCATGGTTTTAATGTGTAGTTTTTGTTGAAACGTCCATCCAATACTAAGATGTAGATAATGCATGGGTTGTATTTCAGACACACTTGTGTTGTGTTATTAAAAAAGGAACATAATCCGCTCTCGACTTCTTATTTCATGTTTTTTTGTTCTTCATCTCTCATTATTTTGTCAGTTTATGCAAGAATTTTAACTTCACATTAATGACTTGAATTTCCTACATATTGCTGTCCATCCAGGTAACTAATCACACATAATGTGTCATGTATGTTATTGCAGAATGCTATAAAGCGGCATGCATACCTGAACTCATTCTCCACAGTACCACAGTATGCGAAGTACGGTGTCAACCAGTTCTCTGACCTCTCACAGAAGGAGTTCAGAGGTAGGCTGATGTTTTGTTATATATTCTAACTTTGCAGAATTGGATTAGGCACATGTACTGTATCTTTCTTCATATTAGCTTCCTACCGGGCTGAATCTGCACAGTGATTGTTTACACACATCTTTTTATACACTGACTTTTAATTGTATCTGTTATTCACAGATCTCTACCTGCAAGCAAATGCTGACAGAGCTCCTCTCTTCTCTGGACTGAAGACAGCGGGGCTCCCAGACAAATTTGACTGGAGGGACAAAGCAGTGGTAGCACCAGTCCAGAACCAACAAGCAGTAAGGCTTATATTCATCGATGATGAAATGTACAGTATAGGAGGGAACCTACTGGAGGTACGGAGACCCAGTTGTTATTATAATAATAATAATGATGATAATAATAAGGCTCATAAAAACTGAATTTGTATAGCTTCTTTCATGCAAGAAATGCAGCTCAAAGTGCTTTACAAAAAAAAAATGACATGCACTGAGTGTTTTGCATGAAAAAAGAGAATGAACATAAAAACAGGGATAGAATGAAAGTAATGGAAACTAAGATGGAAAAAAATTTTGCAAAGTGAAGACCAGAAGAGTTTCTGGGCTGTATCATAAAAGTCATAGCTAGTTAAAGGCTAAAGTCAAGAGATATTTTTTAGTCTTTTAAAAATATTTAGCAAGCTGGCTTCCCTGATATCTATAGGTAGTGTGTTCCATAGCTTTGGGGTGTAATTGACAATGGTTGCACCCCCGATTTTCTTTTGGTTGTAGCTGGAAACCTCTAATAAATCAGCAGTAGATGGTCGCAGTGTCCTTGAAGGTGTATGGTTGAAAATGTAGCTTGGTCCTAGCTCATTAAGGACTAATAAGGAGGAGGACTAAAATCATTTCTAAATGTTCCAGGAAGCCAACGCAGAGCAGCTTAAACTAGACTTATGAGCATTATACTCTTGGTTCTTGGTTAATAGCCAAAGCGATTTGAATGAGCTGAATTCTCTCAGGCCAGTAAACAGTGCTTTACAGTAATCAATTTGGCTTGAATGAAAGGCATGAATCATCTTTTTGATTTCAAAATGGTAGTACTTTAGCTATGTTTCTGAGGTGTTTTCATCACCTTGTTAATGTGGGACTTGAAGCTTAGGTCAGAATCTAAGTCCCAGTGTTTTCAAGTATCCAGTATCCGCTGTCTTTAACAGCTTGAGGTGATGTGAGGAACATATGATAAAAGCAACTTGAGAAATGCTTTCCAGAACTTCACCGTCAGGAGGCTAAATCCACAACCATCTGGCAGTTGGTTTTGTATTAATTTGTTCATACAAGTTAATGTCAATTTTTATCATATAATTTTATCATGATTATCAGCACCAGTTGGTGTCAAAACAAACAGATGGGTAATAGACGACCCAAATATGTATGCAGATGACCATAATAGGCACAAGTCCTCAGAAATTATACAGTCAAAATGGTGATATCGGCCCTTGGTAGGTGTTTTCCTTGCTTTTCTGTTCATACTAGATATAAAGATTATGATGTCCAGTCTGTCAGCTTTGATGAATATCAGTGTAATTAAGATCCCCATCAGGCATGTTTTAAGACATATAGAACTCTGCTTGGAATAATAATTTGTGTTTGATATGGCCTTTCAACAAAAAAAGTTAAATTACCTACTGCTCCCTCATTGTAAATCCTGAATCTATGAAAATGTAACTACTGGACACATGATGTCTCCCACTTCACGAAAAGTCCATTCTAGGTTTATGTACACTCGGGGCTTTGAGTATCCACATCACATAGTACGATTGGCTTCCAAACCTGTGAGGATTGGTTATGCACAGATCTCAAACAGGTTGAAGGTGATCATTCCCCCTTCAGCTGATTTATTTGAAAACAGCCCATTAGATTCAAACAGCGCAGCACATGCATCATTCTGCACTGTGGAGGTCAAACATCCAAGGGAAGTAACAATAAGCAAACTACATTTTTGAGGTGAAAGGAAAAGCAGGTGGAAAATGATAAACTAAGCCATTAAGTGTGACATTTGCTGAGAGAACAGAGTGAACCTGGGGAACAGACAGGGAGAGGGTCAATGAGATGGAGCTGTTGCTAGTCCTCACTGAAGGTTCACTTTCTGCTCCTTTTGTCCTTTATCTCTTTAGCCAGTCAATTTGCCATCAGGGATGATTATTTTTACTGTAAAACTTTTGTCCTGAGGGAGAGACATAGACGATACAGGTTAAAGCCAACATGATAACGTATTTTTTACTCTCTGAATTCAGGGAAGGCTTACTACTCCAGGGAGAGTCTCTACATGACCACACTCAAGTCACTCTGTTGTTCTGTGCTGCTGCTGAGTTTCCTCAACAGATAGATGGATAGACAGACAATAAAATACAGTACCATGCACAAAGATACAGAATATAAAGCTACTCACATTTCATAAGTTCTTCTTTATCCAGTTTACACCTTTCTTGATTCTACTTTTGTGACTATGGAAAGAGCAGATGGTCGTCATGTTTTTTATACTAGGCAAATGCATATCTACAGTCCAAGGAATACTGACTGATTTTGGTTTCAGTATTGATTTTAAGCCACAGAACCAAATTGAGCAACAAAGAATTGGATTTTTATGCAGAGAGCTGGGAATGTATGCTGAGCAAATGAACTGAGCGTGGTCTGATTCTGTTTGGAGAATGAGATTGTCTGTGCAAATTTTATACAGGATAAACTTTCACATAAAATACTAATACTAATTTTATAATCAATAAAATACTGTGTGTTTTCTTTCAAAAAAGGTTTTTGGAATGCTATGTAATCTATATCAGAAATGAAGTATAAGATCAACTTTTGCTGTCAAAATATCTAAAGCTTAATACATTTACTGAAGCAGAAATGGTTTTCCCACAATACCTTTTTTTGGTTTTTCTGTCAGTAGATGGCAGCAGAAAACAATTAGTCACAGTTCACACAGACTGGATGGATCATCTCATCTTATCAACCTGTACAACATCCCCACCCCACTGTAGATTTCTGATCAAAAGGTCTTTAAAATTTTGATTTGATTCCAAATGCCATCAAATCCAAAACTGTTCGTCAGTTCTTTATCCCACCATTCAAACTTTTAAATGTGGTTTGTGTTTAAAAGATGAATTACAGCATTTAGTTAGAAAGCAGACATGGTAGAGACCATCATTCAACAGAAATCAAGTCTTTATCCTGCTAAAGTATCCTTTAGCAAGATAAGCAAAATGAAAATGTATCTGTCTGGGTAACATAAGATATGTATTCTAGAGTTTGGTTCCAGTCCTGAAGGATGTTTCAGCTTTTCCTTTGTAGTTTTGTTTTTCCTGATTAATGTAATTTTACCTCTGCAGTGTGGAAGTTGTTGGGCATTTAGTGTGGTTGGTGCCATGCAGTCCGTCCATGCTATTGGTGGCTCACAGCTTAAACAACTCAGTGTGCAGCAGGTTCTGGACTGCTCCTTCCGTAACGAAGGGTGCAATGGAGGCTCCCCAATCAGGGCTCTGAATTGGTTGAAGCAGGTATGTTGATATTTTTACATAATTGCAGGCCTTTAACATATTTTCAGGTTTTGGTTTGTAGTGAGTATAACAGTTGAATAAACCTTATCTCCCAATACTTCGCATGCACAAGTGATATACTGAATATTTCTGTCCCTAAAGTGACTGTTTATGACAGAGGACACCTGTGGGAAGATACGTCATTGCTGTTTTAAATGTAGCTTTTTGAAAATAAGGTTATATTGTAATGTATTTTAATTACACATAGTGGCAGTAAGCAAAGAAAAGTCTGTAGTCAGACATGAATTAGGAAACTGCCTGTGCCAGGATCTTTCATAAACAAGATCAATGGATATTTTGTATTCAGAGAACGCACTCACTGAGATAAACTATTTTCTTTCTAGTCCAGAGTGAAATTGGTACCTCAGTCAGAGTATCCATACAAGGCCAAGACAGGAATCTGCCATTTTTTCTCTCAGTCACAAGATGGTGTTGCGGTAAAGAACTTTACTGCACATGACTTCAGGTAAAAGACACATTTTTGCAAGTTTTCTATAAGCAATAAAGGGAAAAAAACAATGTTATTTTGGGGGGTAAAATCACATGAAAGTACCAAGGACAGAGGGGAGGGATTGGTCCTGCACAGTGGCAGACCATAGTGTTTACTGTGTCAACATAGACAGGGATTTCTCAGTAGCACAGATGTTCTTTACTCTGGGCCAAAATGACTGGCTCACAGTTACCTTGAGCTAAAGTGAATCTGATCATCTTTATGTAATATAGAACAGCATTGTGACTAACTCATGCATATGCAATGCCTGTTATTTTGTGTTTATGTTGTGTTGCTATAATAGCTAGGATCTGGGTCATCTGTGAGTAGATGAAGTTTTAATTTTTGCGTTAAAGTAGAGTTAAGAATTTCTGAGATTGTGACATTTGCCAATCTAATATGAAATGTTTGTATAGTTCCTTTCCTGACATACAACTTTGTATTGAATGAAGCTTTTTACTTAATAATTTGGCAATATAATTTTTTAATGATTCTTAAACAGAACCTAAAAGTAAAACAAACTAAAGACACAGTATTTTTAAAATCTAGTAAATGTCAATACTACTAAAAGAACGCTTTATCTCAACACATTTGCCTTTAAACCTGCCCCTTTTATCAGAAAGGCCAGCGTGCTGGATCATTGAGTACATCAAGCTGCTTGAACTGGGAACAGGTCACTTTGGCACAGGTGTCATGAGGATGATTTAATGTTCTGGTTAAGTGGCTTATAAGCCAGATCTTTACAGTTGCACAGCAAAAGAAAAACGGCATAACATAAAGTTTCACAAGACAAGACCTCACCAACCATGAATAGGATGTAAAATGGCTTTATTCAATATAGTTTTGGCACAGAACTAGACTGCATGGCCCATATGTCATGAGCCTGGCAAATGAGGGCATCACAGCTATCCCTAGTGTGGAATCATCTGGTGGAAGGACAACATGGGGTTGCAGAGAGGGTGCCTGCATATTTGCAACAGAGAAAATGAGGAAATTTCATGAATGGGAGTGAGATGCTGCTGATGATGAGAAAATGATGCAGACATAGGCCCAGTGAAGTAATAACCTCTATACAGAAGAGTATATTCTGATACATTTCACAACCCCCTGACTTAATAGTTTTACATGATAAGGTCACAAAAATCAGTGTAATTACAAGATCTGGCTTCCTCAACAGTACATTTTTCAGTAATTTACCACTCTGTTACAGTGGTCAAGAGGAGGCCATGATGGGTCAGCTGGTGGAGCATGGTCCCTTGGCTGCTATTGTGGATGCTGTCAGCTGGCAGGATTACCTGGGTGGAATCATCCAGCACCACTGCTCCAGCCAATGGTCTAACCATGCTGTCCTGGTTGTTGGATACAACGCTGCTGGTACATGCTGTCACTACACTGGAATGAGAATGAATGCTAATTCAAGAAAGAAAGCAGGGACTTCGTATTTGACTTGAGCTAAAACTTACCTTTCTAGGTCAAGAAAGTTTCACAACCCTAGGGCCCGTGAAAGTAATTTAAAGCTGCAACAGGCGAGAGTTTTAGGCAAGAATATGCCACTTTTAATCAGCCTTAATCACAAATTGCTGTTACAACGGAGCAGAGTGTCTCATCCCCCCTAATTAAGTGCTAAAACAAGGAAATATTTTAACAAGCCGTTAAGCTTATTATTGAGCCCCTAAATTATAATTATATGTTGTTGCTTGTGTTATTATTATTATAGCAAGCATGTTTCCAGTGAAAGGAATGTCTTACTTTTGTAATTGTCTCAATATTATTATTATTATTATTATTATTATTATTATATTGTAGTGACATGCCTTACTTCTTAAGTCTTGTAAGAAGATATAGAAAATCCTTCAAAGAACTATATTGGAAAGATGTCATCATTCATGAAATTGGTGAAATGAAAGAAAATGAAGACTTGAAAGCAGAATATTAAATTCAATTATTGCTAAGACAATATTTGCCGTTCATGGTAGGATTCATAATATTTTCCCGTTTCTTTGTCCTGTCAGTCCTATTTGGTACACGTGATCAGTGAGTAGCTAGGTTGGCCTTTTTTTGTCATGTTACAAGAGTTCTGATTATTCCAACAGTTACCTCTTAAAGCTTTGTATCCCAGGTTTAAAACACAAAATAAGTGTGAAAAGATGTTTTAAAGTTTGTTAAATGTTGAATTTGAAGATACATGGTTATTTCAACAGCACTTCACACACATACGTATTTTAGATTTCTTGACATTAATTATTTCTCACACACTTTTTTGTGGGTATTACACAAGGATATGAGAGATTATGTAACAGTCTAAAGTGGTTGCAGCTGTGCGCACCTAGTGCTCCTTTACTCTGTAAATAATTAAATTTAGAAATACATGTTGTCTGACTTAGGGGATATTCCATACTGGATTGTGCAGAACTCCTGGGGAACTACATGGGGGAATGAGGGTTATGTTTATATAAAGATCGGTGGCAACATTTGTGGTAAGTATGATCTTTGCCTCTTATCATTTTCTATTCATATTACCTTTTTTGTTTGGTGTTGGTCAGAGATTAAAACAACATCCTTCTTTTTTTTCTCTTCCCAGGTATTGCAGATTCGGTGGCAGCAGTTTTTCTATGACGGGATTGCATGTATTTTTATCTCTGTCGTGTGTGTGTGTGTGTGTGTGTGTGTGTTCACTGCTGTAAAATGTAAATAATTTGTTTGCTTTTTAGTGTCACTTTCAAAAATGTTTTTTTTATTGAAATGCCACAATGTTTCATCACTAAAACAAAATAAATCACTTCATATGCTGATAAATTATTATGTTGTATCATACCTGATCAACACACAACACACTGCAAAACTGTAATAATAAGAATAGATGCACTGTAAAAAATGTATCTTATTAAATACATAAGGTAGATACATATTATGGGTTATGTGGCTCATAACTATCTATACAGAGATCACATCAATCACTGCATAAATACATAAAATTAATTTAACACCATACAGCATACTATACAAATACATTATTACATATTATTAACATTATGTACACATTTTGTGGTTCATATTTTATAGTTTCACAGTTATGCTGTGCTAATTGTTCTATTTTAGATGGTAACACTGATTGTTTATACAGAGGTATCTTGTCATTTATGTACTCTTCACATCTAAGCTATATCCCAATAGTCTGAAATGGCTCCCCTTTTTGACACCTTCCCCATGCTGACATGAAAGATACTGCGTTTATAAAAACCCATCATCGCTAGCAGTTTGATCACTGATCAACAATCCATTTGCTTTCAGGTAAGTCATAGTGAATTTACATAATTTTATTGTGAAAACATCTAAACAGATCGTATCAAGGAGCCATCTGCAATACTTTGTGACCACTTGAGGTTAGATATTAGAGTAAAATAGTCTAATCTGGCCATGTAATTTATTCCGGGTCAGACAAGAGTCAAACACTGCGTCGCAAGTTTCTAGGTTTTGACCCTTGGTGCTTCAGCCTGGGGGATGTTTGGAATGCTTTTAGCGACACAATGAGATTTTTCTCCTTGCTTGACATTAACAAAATGAACACATTGTTATTTTTCTGTATTTACAATCCCAGTACTTCCAAGAAAAGTAGATTTTCTAAAAATCCCAACCAATAATACCATAAATATTGTGATGGTTTACATTGTCAGCCATATTAATTGATCCTTCCCTCTGACAAAATGCTATTATTGTTTCTTTCATCATCCTATGTAGTATTTGAGTATTTTGTGCGGAAAAAACAGGATGTATTTAATACTGCCCTGATTTCTTGAGAAAATGTACAGTTTTTCAATGCATATGGGCTTTCTCAAGTACATCTCAGGTACATTGACCTGATGTCATCCACAGCCCCTAATCTGAGTCTTCACTGCTGCAGTAGGAGCTGTCGCAGCATTCGGCCATGTAGAGGAACGTGTGCACGTTGGGATTTAGCTTGGGCACCCAGTGGCGAGGCACCAGGAATGTTGCCAGGTTGAACAGATCCACAAACACTTTGTAGCGGTCACTAAAGGGAAAGAGGGTAGTTTATTAAATATTTAACTTATCCGTTCTTACAATATAACTGGGTATCTGTTACAAATTGTACTTTCTGAAGGACAAAAGCTAACTTAAAATCCTGCTAAAATGTAATGGAGAAAAATGAACTTTAAATATAGTTTGTGCATGTCAGGAGGAAGTGACCATATGACAGCTTAATTTAGATAAGCACAGAGTAGCAGTGTCCTGTCCTTATCTAAATTAACACTGAAATGTTTAAGATACTTTGCAGTGCAGTGTAAAATGTTTAATCAGTAGGTTAAAGTTTATAGCATACAATACCTGACAGTGGATCTCAGGTAGTGGTAGCCAGAAGAGCCCCCTGTGCCGGCTTTGCTGCCAATCATACGATGCACCATGCATACGTGATTGTCTAAAACAGAAAACAGAAATATCCTTTGTAATATGAACATGTTTTAGCTCTGCATGTTTCATTTGAGCTGTAAATTGTTTAGACATGAGGGAGACATATATTAAGTAAAATATTTATTCCATGGCAGCAGATTGTTGGATTGATCAGCAGGCATCGAAAGATTCTTCTGCCTGATCTAACTGTTGTTAGATCAGCTCTGCCTTTGGGCAAAATATTAAAGCATTTTCTTCTAGTAATTTCTTTTGTTCTCATTTACTGATCAGCATATGCAGGAGCTGAAGGGGATGCTACTGTACTTACATCTCCATTTTGTCATGAGGGTGTCAATATCCATGAGGGATGTGAGCAGCTGGAAAGGTACCTGGAACCTCGGTTCTTCCCTAAAAGGTAAAAGAAGACTTTAGCCTTTGAGGATACCATGTACACACGATCAAGTGGTGTATGAAAATTTGTTTGGATGGTGTTCACAGCAGTTGTAAAATGAGAGCAACTAACATCTGCTCTCTGCCCACAATGCACTTAACATCTTTTATCCAACAGTTTGACATTAATTATCACCATCCAGTCACATTACTGCCACATAGCCTCTTGTGAACTTATGTCCTTACCACATAGCCTGATAACCACGCCTTTTGGTTAAACTGACAAAGACTCTCACACGAGTGTTAAAACATTCTCATGACCGCACGACAAGTCCAACTGCTAGTGTTTTACAACTGCTATAGGTATCACATGACCTGGATGGTTGACAGGGTTTCAGAAATGTGCTTCTGGCATGGGCATTTTAGGTTGGAAGAAAAAAGAGTAATTCTGCCTCAGGAAGTAACACTGAGGTGCTCTTAAGCAAGATGTTAAACCCCCACATGCCCCAGTGAAGCTGTAGTCATCAGTTAGAAGACTTTGTATACTGTGCAGCTCTGTGGTGTAGAATGTACTATATGAAACTGAAGCAAACACAACACAGATACACAGTGTCAGCAGTTCATAGTAAAAACAACATACCTGTAGAAGTAGATCATCAGGGCACCTTGGAGAGCCTTGTAAGAGAGCCGCCTTTCACCTTGTTAAAAAAACAAAAACAAAGTGAACATATATTACTTATACTACACAAAGTAATACAAAGCATTGATACAATTTCAAGTCAAATCCGGACCACTAACAGATATGTGAAATATTGACTAACACTGGTTTATGACATTTGATTAATTAGCTGGATTTTTAATCTGTAGAAAGCACTCACCTTTACTGAGAAGATGATCATGACGCTTTTCATCAAACAGAGAAGTGAACAGCTCTTTCTGTTTGACCAGCTCAGCCATCAGTTCCTCCTTCTCCTCAGAATCTGGCATTTTCTTTAAAAAATAAAAATAACCCCGTAAATAAAAATACAGTTGCTGTCAATCATCTGTGTACTCCAAGGGGAGCAAAGAAAGTTTCTTCGAAAAGTTGGTGTCATCTCTTACCTCAATTTTCTCCATCTCCCGATTCAGCCCATCAAATATATTGATTTCCAGCCTTTCCCAGAAATTGAATCCATCCACCTCCAAGCCAGGAGTTCTCTCCAGCCACTCCTGAGAAGAACAGCCCATGGGTTTATCACATTTATACAAGGGCAGAACGATTAAAAAAAATAAAATAAATCTAATTGCGATTGCTTTGACTGATAATGCAGATACAATATGATTTGCAATGTTAATTTTTTTATGGTGTGATTTATGCAAGTATTTGGACCAAACAAAGATGTTTTATGAAGTCTTTAGAATCAGGGCAGGACATCTCTGCAGCACGACGATATTTAATTTTAAAATTTTAAAGTTTTTATTGACACCTGTATCACTTTTAAGAAATATTGCGCCTCTTGCGATTTGGAAATTGCAATAGCCCATATTGCGATTTTGATAAAAATTTCGATTAATTGTTTAATTTACACCCTGTAGTAGCAGATGTGATTAGCCAGAGCAAGATACAGCAAACACAATGTTAAAAAATACAGTTATACAGTAGAATAAAATGATGCTTGCTTTAATGAACTCTTGATTAAGTTTAAAAATCAATGACCATGTGCAGGTGTTTGGTGTTTTAAGACGTACTTCAACTAGTTTTAAGAGTGTTGGCTCCTTTTCAGTGGTGAGCAGCATCTCACTGTCATGACCCTTGAAATTGTCCCTGTAGTGGCGTCTGTTGTATGGAACCCTCTGGTTGTCCGGGACTCCGATTTTGTTCTCCAAGAGCCGAAACTGAAGGCTTTGAAATCCAGAGGCTGGAGACAGGTATTCCCTACACACAAAAACACACAAGTAAGCATACATGCACACAACACAGACCGAGTGCACTATCATGGAGGAGTACATCTTATAAATTTTTTACAGCTGAAGTAGAGAGAGACAGAAGTTATTTATAAGTTTACCTAAAGTCAAAAAAGTCCAAGGCTGTCATTGTTTCCAAAACCACAAACTGGTCGACCAACAGTCTGAAGATCATTACAATCCTGTGAATACGAGTGTTGACTTTGAGCATATTACGTTCATCTCTGACCTGGAGGAATAGTAAAATATTTAAGGAAATAATTCTTAATCATAGTAAAGCTTGTAAGTACATATCCTGACACAGGAAAACACAGTCTAATTACTGAAATAATGAGCCTTTTAGATTTATTGCAACATTATTTCGTCAACCTAACGTGTGTCTCTTTCAGGGAAAAAATTCATAAATTACAACTGTTACTCTAATTTTAATGTAGAACAACAGCTACGGTGATATTCAAATGTCTTATTTTTCAGTGACTGAAATCCAAAGCCAGATCGACTAAATAATTTAAAAACTGAATTAAATACATCCTGAATAACAAATAATTCCTATTGAATATTCCTTTTAAACAGAGGTACTGTGAAATCTGACAATTCTAATGTTCTCTTCAGCACTGACAGTTTCCTGTTAAAGAGAGGGTATTCATGCTAATTTACTGTCTGTATTCATGAACAAGACATAAAAACACAATCACATAACCTTTGTAAGATTCTTTCTTCCCAGAAATGTGACTTACATGTCCACTGATGAAGATCTCTCGCACTGAGTCAAGTTCAAACAAAATCTGTTTAAACCATAGTTCATAGGCTAGAATAAAACACAAACCATTAAGTCATCAGAAACAATTTTAGAATAATATTACAAATTAAATAAATTGGTCAGTAAGCAACCAGGGCTAATTACACTGCAGAAGATGCCCATTTTAACAAGTTACTCTTGTATTTAGCCTTATACATTTTAAAGTAAAAACTCTGCTTGCTATTTCTTTGGATTCCAAAAGTTACCCTAAACAAAGAACTTAAAGACTAAATTCAAAATTAAAACAAGTAAAAAAAAATGCTGTTAAACACCACAAAGCTATTTTAGTTTTACCTTGATGAGTAACAATGAAGAGGTGCTCATCATGGATCTTATTACCCTTGAGTTCACTCTGTAGCACCTGGGCTGAGACTATTTTGTCAAGCTGAGAGTTGTAAAGAAATAAAGCACAATTTTGAAAACAAATTCTAGTACTTATCTTTCTTTAAAAAAGCAAGGTACAAAGACTGAGACGTATTATAGTTGGTGTTTTCTACCTGCAGGTAGTCTCCATAGATGATTCCTCCGTTACTGGCCTTGTTAACCCCTACCTGAGAGGCATCCTCCTCTTCTTCTGTTTTGGGAGGCTTGTTTTTGAATAACCTGCAATGCGAAGAGAGAAGGCCTTTTGTTACTTGGTATTTTCCCATAAACAGGAGTAGTAAGCAATTGTCAGAAGGCTGCATTTAATTGCATTTAAAAATATGAAATAAAAATGGGAGAAAAAACTCCCTGAGAAATTGTAGGTGCAATGACAATTTGAACATACAAATGCCTCTTCTCAAAGTATGGACATCCACTCATGACTTGTCCAAATCAGTTGCAGCAAAGATGTATTTTTCTTCGTGAACCTAATATTTACTAAAATTGTCTTCAACACAATCCAGATTATAAAGCTTCACCTCATCCAATCGCTCATGAGGATATGGTCATCATCCGGCCCACCTCTATTTGCCCAATTGAGCTGTTTATCTTGAACCGGGACCACCTTCTGGACTTTGTTTGACATGCTAAATGAACAGTCACGGGGTCTATTTCAAATAATAAAATGAAAAACAACAAATACTTTTATGCAAATAATCAAATTAACTGGAATATCAAACATATTTAACATAAGAATATTTTATAACGCTTGATTATTGCTTGCAAGCTTTATGCTATTAAAAAACCTTGTGTATTCTGGAAACTTCTCGATGGACATTGCTGTCTCAGTCACTGGGTATCTTCAGTGTTTACTTTGCAAGGTTTGCTGTTTATATCTGTATGATTTGTCTCTTAGAAATAGTGAACTTGGTTATATAAGCTTGGTTTTATATATAATCAAATCTATATAAGAAAATCTAATCAAATCTTGTTGCAGATACTGATTGGTGTTTTGTGCGTTATGTCCCCCCGCCATGCATCTAGCGGTCCTCTGCCCGGACTGGGAGCTTTCAGTGAACACAGTAGTGATGGCAAGTTCGAGTCTTTTGACAGACTTGTTCATTCAAATCTTGTTCATTAAAATGAACTAATCTTTTTTTGAGTCATTTCGTTCATTTCGTTTATTTGAACTAGGCTTGTTATTGTGGCGATGCAGCCCTCTAGTGGGCGATTAAAACAGCGCCGTTCTCAAACATGGAAGGCTGCCTGGCTTGCTTTATTTGACAAAGTATAATGCACAAATTCACCTCCTGATTACTGTATATTATCATTATATAACCCCCCCTGGGCCCACAACCAAATTCTAAATCCTTCCATTTTCACAATCTTTCCCGAGTATACAACCAGACCAGCCATATAAAGGCTTATGTATATAATTACTATCATTATCTCTAAAGTGCACATTCATACAGCAGCCTACCGTCCCTATCCATGAGTAAAATATTTATATCAGATTTGCAGTAAATATATTGAAGTAATAAGCTTGATACACTATGTGAATAAACACACTCTTATTAAAATTCAACCAATTTAATAATAATCTGGATCAAGCCACCAAGTTGTTAAAGAACTCCAGCACAGAGAGAGGAACAGAGAAACAAACACACATGAATGCAGCAGTTTGGCAGGTCTGGACGCAGAATGGGCCACATCAGGTCTGAATTCTGCAGACAGAGAGAAACAAACATGAGCACATCGCTCTTAAACACTGCAGGTTGTTCACCAGTCACGAGCTGTGAAACAACAGCACGGCTCTGTTGGTAAATAAAAAGGAAAAGTTACATCGCGTTTTCTGGCGGACCTGGATCAGCTGTTAGCTGTTTACAGAGCTAACTCTAACGTTGCTACGTGGCTGTGTTTTAATGTTTTATTGACCGGGTCTGTTTGTTTTGGAGAGGAGACGACCTCGGAGGTGATTCAGCTCCAGGTAGAACCCTGTCAGGGCTCTGAAGTGGACCCAGAACAACTCTCATCGGCTTTTGGCTGTAAACACTAGCAAGTTATGGTACAGCTGTGTTAAAACTATAACTTAGCACAACATCACTGCGCTGTAATAATGTTATGCTTTATTAAATGTCACATAATTAACAAAATAGATGTATAACAACAGTCCAGTGGCTGTTACCTGACAGCTGACCTGCCTCTCACTCTCTGGCGCTGGCAGTCACTCAGCCTGCCGAGTGAACGAAAGACTGAGGAGGACCCATGTGAACGGTGAACGAGTCAGACCCAGAGACCCACAGTTGAGAGTCGTGAACTAATCAGTTCTGTTTCCTGTGCTGCCTGCTTACCACAGCCCTGTAGCTGAGCTGTCATGTGACAAGTGAACGACTCAAACAGACCCACAGTTGAGAGTCTGAACTAATCAATTCTGTTTCCTGTGCTGACGGAGCCCAGGCAGCTGCTGTGTGACGAGTGAACGTAAGAGTCCACGATCCTTCTGGCATGTGTGAAAATGAATGAATCACTCACTGAGACAACCTGTTCCTCCCGAGTCATATACACGATTAGGTCTTATGAACGAAACGTTCTTTGAACGACACAACACTAGAACACAGCCTCCCGAGATGGAAGCCAGTTTGACGACAAGGAATACAGGCCACTTGCTGCACGGCTAACCGAGCTAATTAGCTAACAGCAGCTACAGTAAGCAGCAGTTATCGGTTACTTTTGCAACAAGTTAAACTATCTGTCCATGAGGACACTCCGTAAATCACCTCAGTACTGTACTTCCTGATGTCAAAGTGGCCTCCATTGGTTCCGGAGGCTGTGTTCACTGAGAGGCTACTGAGCTCAATTGTGGCCCTAGGCCTGAAAACCACCTCCAAAGCTCCTGTGCTAGTGGTTTAAACACCAACAGATAAGCTTAAGGACTGCTATCTGCTCAGCTATCTGAGCTAGCATTAACTAACTGATGGTAGCTACACTTAGCTGCAGTCAGTAGTCACTTTAAAGCTGTCTATCAGATACTCCATAAATCTCAGGCCAAGTCAGTGAATAAAGTAGTATTTTGTACAGTAATCAGTGAGGCTGAGTGTAAAATAGGGCTGCACGATATCGGAAAAAACTGACATTTTGATATTTTTCTTTTATGCGATATATATTGTTGTTTAATATCCATTCTGTGTTCTTTAGTTGAGACAGTGAGAGAACAATAAGCTTGGGTAAATCGGTGACGTCACTTTGCGTAAGAGGACCACAACATTCTCATTACGTTGTGCGCAAGCTAGTTAGTGGGTTGTGACATTACTACCATGAAGTGTTGTACTCCTAAGAGGTGTGCGTCAACGAAATAAGTGTAAATGGTCAGTGCATGAAGTATGAATCATCTGCAGTTGTTAACATTGTATGATGAAAAATGTCAGTTTAGGGGGTATTACCAAATTTAATTTTTCTACTTGCGCTAATGCAAATGTATGTCCCATGTGAGTTAATTTTTCCAGAGCTGATGCTGTCTAACGATGTTAGCATTATGCCTGTGTAATTGTCGCACTGAATGAAGATGTGCAATGCAATTTAGCGCACCAAAGACTTCGGCTTATTCCATTATCCAACTTGTACAATGAAAATTGAACAAGAAAGTCTAAAACCGTAAACAGAGACAACTCGCCTCAAAACACGTTTTCAAAACCAGGTCTTAACAAATTGTAGTATGGAAATAAGATTAATTGGATTATATTTACAGGAAGTATAAAACATGTTAAATATTTCTAAACTGCTAGGGAAATTACGTTATTCTTTTGGGTTGCTGGAAAAACAATAAATAAATAATTGGAAAATACTTGTATGCTGAAACAATATTGGGCTAAATAAAAAATTCCTGACAACAACACATTTGAGTTCAGGATAACCCATGAAGCTGACTACAGGCCTGGCTATGACTACATGAAGCTTTGTCAAATATTGTCACAGCCCGTTATGCCAATTGGACATTAGGTAGTTTCTTTCTTTTTCAGGACATTCCAAATTGTTGTGCTTGCTATGCCTTATGTTTGTCCAATGGCTCTGGTCGATTTTTCCTTCTTTTCTCAGCTTGACAATGGCTTGCTTTTCTCCCACAGACAGCTCTCTGGTCTTCATATTGGTTTATCCTCTTTAACAGGAAATGCAGTCTTTATAGGTTTGAATCAAGGATGAAAACTTAGACTAGTCATGCAGAGCTATTTAATGTTTGGACAGTCAACCTAAAAGGCAACACCTGGGCAACAAGAAACATCAGTCACATGTTTCAATAGTTTTGCTCACTTGAAAAATGGGTAGGTTCAAACAAAGGGTGGTATGTCCTGAGTTGTTTAACACATCTAGATGTGAATACCAGGAAACGAGAGATGAAATTCTGAACGCTTGTCTCATCTTTTGATCTTAAACCCAAATGTCTTCAGTGAACAACAAAAACAAATAAATATGCCCTACTGTTCCAATACTTTTGGACATATATTTTTATATATATATATCATGCTTAATGTGTAAGGATACAGTGTTTGTGCTGACCGGCCGCTTCTGTTAATCTTGTTCCTACATTACGAGGTAGTAGTGTTATTTCCATGACAAGAGACCAGCAGCAATGAAGTCAAAAGTTCGAGATAAATCAACTTTTTTTACCAGACAGACTCATCACAAGTCGTAACACTATGTAAATCTTTTAATGTCACACGAAGTAACAGATTAAATAGCCGTAATTAAATAAATAAATTGAAGAATAGGCTATACAAATTAATTATTAGGCATAAATCCCAGCACTCTATAATAATTCCAGTGTTCGAGCCAATTTATTTAAAATAATTGATGGTAAAGTAGCAGAAATAGGACAATTATGAATTATGTTCAATATTAAGGCTAGGGTTTTTGTTTATTTATTAAGTTTAGCTCTCCTAAATGACAGTTTTTGAAATCCAGAGGCTGGAGACAGGTATTCCCTACACACAAGGTGAGCGGTCTCTGTTTCCGGTTTTGGACTTCATCGTTCAATTTCAATTGTGGATAATGGAACAAGCCAACGCTTTGGTACGCATGGGTCAACATACGTTTGCACTTGTATTAGAGCACGTAATGAAATTAGGTAATACCCCCTAAACTGGCATTTTTCATCATACAATGTTAACAACTGCAGATGAATTATACTTAGGCACGGACCGTGGTAGTTACTAGACGTAACTCTCGTTATATGAGTGTGTATGTAGCTTTGTATTCAGTTGACCTAAGAACCCTTTCTATTTAGTTACAGACATTCTTCATGTTGGATATGTTTAAAGGAATGCCTGTGTTAAAGAGTAGTGTGGCTACTGTTAGGGCATTAATTACAGGTGTGGGGTTTATATTGCTCTCATTTTAGTTGTGCATTAGACAGTATATTCTCACATATTCCTGTTCAGATAATGATAGGAGTGTTGTATGATTTACAGTATATGTAACAAACAGTATTGTACTCATTGTTTTAATTTCTTTATTTACTGACAGAAACCACACCCATACACATTTATCTCCTGAATACAATAACG